ATTCATTCACCTTTTGATAGTGCCCATCAACAGAAATGCAATATTGGAAGCTAGAGCAAAGTAAAGAAAAATGGTGATGTTAGGGGTTGGATATCATAAAGATAGAAGGAAGATCATTGGACTAGGATATTCAGGGGGAAGAAGGTGGGAAAGGAAGGAAATGAATAATTAATTTTGTGAAATTATGATTTGTGCATGTATAAATATATCAACTTGAATCTCATCTTTAAATACTAGTCAAAAATATAAAACTGTGTGGAAGGGAGGCCAGTAGAATAGAAGAAGGGAAATAGAAGGAAGAAAAAGGGAAAAGGGCTGGCACTGGGGGCTGAAATAAAGTAAATTAAATTTCATGCATGTATGATTAGGTTATAATTAACCCAACTATTATGTATAACTAAAATATACCAAAGGGAAAAAGAAAGAGATTCRAGGCAGCACCAAAAATGCACCTAAAATACTGATTGTGGGTTTACTACTGGGAAAATATCCCTAATTATGAACCACAAGATCTCATTCAGATGAAGGCTAGCTCCTGGATCAGTGAAATCCAGGCTCCTATGGGGCAGACCTGCCAGATATTTTCTCTGCTGTTGTGAATTCAACCAAGATAATAACAGCTTCTATGACAGCCCACCAGTACTCAAGCTGGCCTTGCAGAAATGTTTCTGAGTGAGATTTGGTCTTTACAGTTGYTTTAATAAAGTTGGCCATGATACCTTGTCACCTTCCTCATGACAAAAACATTCAGTGTCACTCCAGAGGAACTGGGCTGCACGAAATAACCACAGAAGAGACCAGGATTTTTTWATTTGTTTTGTTTTTAAGTTTCTCCATTATGTTATATTATGTGTTCATATTCTTTTCTACATAGTCATATGGAATGTATGTTTCAGCTACTTCTGTTGTTGTCCACATAGGCATCATATCACTGTCAAAATATTCTAAAAGTCAAAAATTTAATAAGGCAGTAGTTTGAGAGGAGAGAATATYCAGAACACTGACAGATGGCAATTGTGACTACAACATAGTGCACATGCAGTGGAATAATGGAAGAAAGGTACAATATTTGGCTTTTTAATAATTTTGAAGTGCTCTTTTCAAATTTTTTATTGCTACACAGCAAATCAAATTCAGAGGTGTAGTTTAAAACAACATCACTTTGTTGTGTTTCAAAAACRTCTCATAAAAATATCCTGAAAKTCATTTGACAAAATAAGAGACACATAAGGAGACACACCCAAGGAGATCTTAGCAAGAAAAGTGAAACAGGAGGGATCTCAATACCAGACTTCAAGTTATACTGCATAGCTATAGCATCAAGAACACCACGGTATTGGCACCAAAACAGTGAAAAAGGACAATGGAATAGAATAGAAGATAGAGACAAATCCATGTAAATACAATTATCTTATACATTTTTGTTCAAAAGGTGCCAAAAAACATTGGAAGAAAAGGTGGCCTTTTTAATAAATCATACTGGAAAAAMTGAAAATCTGGAATTCAATATGTAGCAGAAAAGTTTAATGCCTATCTCTCAACCAATTCAACTCAAGGTGGAACAAAGATGGAGATATTAGAGTGGTGACCCTGAATGTGCTAGAAGAAAATGTAGGCCCACCTCTCCAACATGTTGGCATAGGAACAAACTTTCCTAACAAGATTCCTAAAGCACAAACAATCAAATATCAATAAGTGAGATGGYATCACATTTAAAACTTCTGTATGGCAAAGGAAACAATTGAGAGCATGAARAGAGAGCYTACAGAATGGAAGAATTTTTTTTTTTACCTGTTCCTCAAGGCATTAGTATACATAACATGGAAAGAATGCCCAAAATTAAAAACCAAAACAAATAAATAAACAAACAAACAAACAAAAAATCACCTAATCAAAGAAGGGGCAAACTAATTGAACAGACATTTCTCAAAAGAATCATCCACAATTCAACAAATATATGAAAAATGTTTAAAATCATTAASAATCAGGGAATGAAAATCAAAACTACAYTGAGATYTCATCTCACTCTTCAAAAAGGCAATCATCAAGAATACAAATAATAATAAATGTTGGTGAGAATGTGGAAAAAAAGAMACACTCATATGTTTTTGTTGGCACTAGTAGTTAGTGCCACCACTTTGGAAACAAGTGTGGTGATTCCTCCAGAAACTAGGAATGAAACCACCATATGACCCAGCTATYCCATTATTCAACATATATTTGAAAAATTTAAACTCAGCGTACTAGAGTGATGCAGCCATGTCAATATTTAAAGCAGCACAATGCACAGTAGTGGAATAATGGAGCCAACTAGGTGTCCTTCAACAGATGAATGGATAAAGAAAATGTGGTATATAAACACAATGGAGTTTATTCAGTTTAATGTCATTCATAAAAKAATGACATTATGGCATCTAWTGGTAAATGGATGGAACTGAAGACCATCATGCTAAGTGAAGTAAGCCAGTCCCCAAAAGTCATAGGTTGAATATTTTCTCTGATATGTAGAATTTAATCCAAAACAAGGAGGTGGGGGTAAAAAAAAAGAGAGAGAAAGAAATAAAAAATGAAAGAAGGAACTTTATCAAAAATAGAAAAAAAGATCAGTAGAATAGACAAAGGTAATGAGGAATTACACTGTGCATTAGGAACATAAAAAATTTCATTGTTGTAATTTACATACTGATAGGGAGAAAGTTTAAGCAATTACCTAAGTATATTAACAAWATTATTTTATGTAAAATTTTGGAATAAATCATACAAACAATGGGGTTGAACTTGATGTACTATTTGAGTTTGTGTGATAGAAGGTTTAAGAACATGTACCTATCATGATGACACTGAAATATAATCTTTATCTCACTATAAAGAGTCCAAGATAGAAATAAACTSTCTCATATTAAATGAAAAATAATGAAAGAAAATGAAGTGCAGTCTGAGAAGAGTGAMAAATAAACAGGAGAGRGAGTGTTCTACATTCACTRATCTATGTATGTAGCACATGTATTGATGAAAATAAGGAAGGGATTGTGTTTTATTTTATKGGCTGGAAAATACTACAAGTAAGAACAAAATTTTGAAATACATCTTTCACTACTGGGGAATCAAAACAATGTAATTAAATATGAAACAAAAAAATTGTCAATASTGTAGAAAACATTGTTTTGTTTTRTTTTTTAAATAGAAATTGACCATAAAATCTATACAAAGTTTTCCAGGTACTTTATATACTTAAATACACCATTTTCAAAGTTAATGCAAATCTTCAAGACCCTATTGTGATAAAAATATGTTCAAMAAACTGAAAAATAAATAAAAAATACAAAAGTAACAAAAATATAAATTATAAGCAAAGTGTGAAACCAGTGATGAATAACACAAAATCATCCAGAGACAATGCCATACAAGGGACAAATGACATAGGTACACAAATTTGATTAACTCAGGATTCTCATGAGAAACTCATTAGCAAGAGAAGCAGAATACGAGAAATATAACTGATACAGAACAAGTTGTTCCCCAGAGTGAGCATGGCTATTTCTATTTAAGAGCAAAAGTATGTAGAATATCTTACACTGTTAGAAAGAGAAGCCCTCAAAGAGTGATTGATTAAAAGTCACTTGTCATCCCACAGATTACTTCATGCAAATCTATAAAGGTGAGCTGCAATTGTGCTATTAGACTTCTTTACTTAAGGATAGCTCTAAATTTGATGACCAAGATTCAATTGATAAAGTAGAAAACCACGAAATTCTGAGATCTTTAGGAAATAATTCTCTAATGTAAGTCTCATATCTTTTTTTTTTAATTTTTTCTATCTGAAATTAAATTAAATATATATCAGAAAACATTAATGATAATAAATAAGGTAATTTATCTCAGATAATCTTGAAAACTAATGCTAGTAGAATTATGGAACTTGAGAAGAGAGTTTAACACTTTTACTATCTGTATATTATTTCTAAAGCATGGAGTGAAGGGGTTAAATGGAGTGCAGTATTCACTGTTTTATGAAGTTAAGGAAATATGTAATTATTCATTTTGGGAAGCTGGAGATCAAGAACTAAGTATTTATTAAGGACTGTTAGGCAGTGCTGGCTTCTTCACAGATGAGGTATTAATATGGAGRGTTTGTTTTCATTTTCTCTTGTTTTTATCCCCATTAATGTGTTCTGACCATTGACATAACCCGACTAAATCATAGATGGGTTTATTTAAAGTTGTACTTTTAAAAATGGGGTGAAGGAAAAAATAGGGAAATAAAGTTTCATTTGATTACAAAAGCATCACATGAAGGAGGAGAAAATGTGAWGAAAGAGTGTGAAGTATTGCTCATGTTTATTAAGTTAAGGGTTAGTTAATGTATTTGACACATTACAGTAATTGTTAATGGGGAAATCAAAGCTCGGTTAATGTTTTCATATCAGCATAAGTGATTGGAGATATTGGTAAAAAACGATAATAGAGCTCTTTAATTYCTCATTTAAAAAAGTTGATTTAGGAAAATTTATTCTCCTTAATAAAAAGAGAGGAGTTAAAATTCATTATGAATAAGATTCGATGGAAAGCTTCAAGAGCAAATCTTTGAATTGAAAGAAGATAGAATATTACTACTGATAAAGGGGGGAGAACTGTATACTCCSCCCCMAAAAAAAAACTATATAAAAGRACTGTAACATAATCCTGCCCTTAAGGATGAAATAATAAATAATATTTCTACATGTACCWCTGCAAAATGAAACTCACTTCTCACACTTCTCAGTACTCTTAGTGTCTGTTAATAAAATCTGATTAAATACATTAGATTTTTTTCTTGAATTGATTTTAACTGCATATCAAGTAATTCTGAAATAACAAATGTCATCCCATGGGGTCAGGGAAAACAAGGTCGTGGTGGAAATTCTTTAAGAGATTAAGTGCTATTTTTCTTTATGTATCTAAGTCAGGTAACATAAAATATCAATGCATTTCACAATGTGAATAAATTWATCACACAATTTACCATGTCTACAGATGGAGAGCAAATTAAAGCAGAAAAATCAAATACAACTATGGTGATGGAATTCATTCTTTTGGGGTTTTCTGATACTCCCCATCTCCAGTGGATGCTTTTTGGGATATTTTTATTGCTATATTTAACTATTCTGACTTGCAATAGCATTATTATACTGATAACACAAACTGACTCTTCTCTTCAAACTCCTATGTATTTMTTCCTTAGCAATTTTTCCTTTGTGGAAATCTGTTATGTAACTGTCACTATCCCAAGAATGCTCATGGACTTTTGTACACAAAAAGGAAATATTTCTTTGTATGCCTGCTCTACACAAATGTGTTTTGTCCTCTTGCTTGGAGGCACAGAGTGCCTCCTCCTGACAGCGATGGCCTATGACCGCTATGTGGCCATTTGTAATCCTCTGCACTACCCTCTGGTCATGAGCCGCAAGGTCTGCATGCAGCTGGTGGCTGCCTCCTGGGTCACTGCAATTCAAGCTGCGATTGGACTGACATACCTAATTTTCTCTTTGCCCTWTTGTGGATCTAACAKAATTAACCACTTCTTCTGTGATATCCCTCCAGTCCTCCAGCTTGCTTGTGGTGACACCTCCATGAATAACATAGCCGTCTACATGTCATCCATGGTGTTTTTTCTGGTTCCGTTTCTGTTGATCTCTGCCTCCTATGGCAAAATCATCTCCAACATTCTRAAAATGTCATCAGCCAGAGGRAGGACTAAAGCCTTCTCCACCTGCTCTTCTCACCTGACAGTYGTGGTCTTGTTCTATGGAACAGCTAGTGTCACTTACTTGCAATCCAAGTCGTATCAGTCAGAGGGAACAGGAAAACTGTTGTCTCTTTTCTACACCATTTTGATCCCAACTTTGAATCCCATCATATACACTCTGAGGAACAAGGATATCACCATGGCACTGAGGAAACTACTAACTAAGTTATTAACATAAGGCAAAGACTTGAAAACTAATGATTTTCTATTACTTTCTTATGTAACTACAAAAAAAATCTTTGCTCTAATGCTTTTAAATGATGAAGATTAATATTGTGATAACTACTACATTATGCCTAGGGCCTTTGATTATAAAGTTTAGGTAAGGTATCTATGTAATAGGAACATAAATAATCCTATTGCAAGTATGTAATTTGAAGAGCAATATTTCCTTATTTCCTTCCATGGTTWAGTACTGAGTTAAGAGATTTTATGAGAATCACAATGGATAATGATTGCATGTGTCATATAACCAGGAAGTATACACACGTTCTAAGATTGTGTTTTCAATATTCACTTTCTTCTGCATGAATACGGTTCCATTTTATATCCTCACTGTTGGATTTAGCCAATTAAATATGGCAGAAATATTTTAAGAGGGTGGAAGAAGGGAGTCATGATTTTTAAAAATTTATGTATTTTTGCATTATCCCATTTTTATCTTTCTCTGTCCATATTGTTTTAAAACTAAATCTTCTTAGGATGTTTGCTCCTCCACTGTCCAGATATTATTGTGTCCTAGTCACCTCCCTCCYTCCCTTTGTAGCTCTGGTCTTGTTTTGGTAATATCTCTTTCCTAAGWGATTTTTCTTCATTAATACAGTTGTGTACGTATAGTGGGCTGGTTCTTAGAGCCTAAAAATACATCTACATCTGGAATGTACAAATAGGACTGATTCTGAAAATAAGTGATTGCTAGATAGAGTTAAGTAAGCCTATTAAAATGAGATCWCTAAGGTTTAGGATGGGCATCAGATCCAATCATCAGTATTCTGATGTCAGAAGGAAGGCAGAAAATATTTTAAAAACATTCATGAAGAAACAGAAGAACATGACATGAGGGCAGAGGGAGAGATTGGTGAGATTCAGTCCACAACAAAGGTAGAGAAATGTCATCAAAATCCGGAAGAAGAAGGACTCTATCCTAGCTTTCAAGATAAGTGAGGCCTTGAAGAAGTGTGATTTTTTACTCTGGCTGTAACAACTGTGAGTCATGTATTTTCTTTTTTTTTTTTTCCAACCAGTTTGGGAGAATTTATTGATGAAAATCCAAGAAATTAGTCTGGCATGTAAACATTGCATTCTTTAAATTTCTTTTATTTGACTCCTGTGGAGTTAATTTTCTGCACTTCAGGACACAGTTGATTTGTCATCTCTTAACCCTGGCTTCAATTTTTGCTTCCATTTGGGGCAATAATTTGACACTTTTTTTTTCTTTTGATGAAAACACTTATTTTTACATTAAGTAGAATCAGTAGAATCTCATCTTGCAGAAATAATATGTCCAATAATTTTTACAATTATGCATTTGCTCCAGAAACTTAAAATAAAGGTTCAGATTTCTTTTTAAATAATGAAAATCACATTTGGTAGTGAAAGATAGGCATTGTGAATTATAGGATGTTGACAAAGTGCGGTATATCTACCCCTGTGATACTGCTCAGCCTCTCATGGCAATGCTCTGGAGTGGCTGCATTTAAGAAATCCCCACTGCCCTAATACAAAAGAAGAAAACTCACCATATCCATCCAACTAAGAAAAGATTTATCTTGTAATATTGCCAGATCATTTGTCAAAATTTTTTTCTATRTCAGTGTCAATATTAAACCAGAAAGAAACACACTCTTCTACTGTTTTCTGACACTTGTCTATGCACAGAGTGCACTCAGAAAGAATTTATTTAGAGGAAAGTTCAATAAAATAAAGGAACAAGGCAAGTTAGTGTCTGAAATCTGAAAGACTATCAGCTCCAGRATATTCCCAGGATTCCTTTGGTCCCACATACCAGGCTGTACTCTTGCATGAAGACAAGTRGACTGCACAGAGCATTTGGACTTCTATAATGAGAAAGAGGAGTTGARGTGAGGCTAATCTCTCTTGATTATGTAACTAATCCAAGTGGTCAAATTCACTAGGACAGTTGGTGACTAACAATAAAGACAGTGACTGAGATCATTAGTTATTTTYGATCTTACACAGAATAGCTCAAATGCCACTAGTATAAAATGAGTAAAATCTAGTTATGTAGGCATAAGCAGATATAAAGATAGAGCTTTTCCCCTACAGAGTGAAGATCAAATCTATATACACTATGGCAATGACCATGTTCAACACTGTTTATGCTACTGCAATAATTTTTCTAATGTTGCATTACACACAACCTCAAATTTAGTAATATAAGACAAATATGTTTTCATATATTCTGYAGTTTATGGTGCTGGGTGGATGGTTTCTGGGGCTGCCTTGGATCTMAAAGGCTGAAATCAACATAACTGGGTCAAACTCTTA